TGCCCCCCGGCGGTTCCCGCCCCCCCCCCCCCCAGCCACGCGCGCCCTCGTCCTGCAGGAGCTGAGCGCTCGGCGGCGGCGCGGTTTGGGGCAGAGCACGACCGCTCTCGTTCTGGCCTTGGCAGATCAGGGGTAACAGCGTGGGCACAGCAAGGAGTCTCTGTTCTTCGGGGTCCTCTCAGCCGCCCGGGCGCTCGCTCTCCCCAGGCCTCCTCCCACGTCCCTGCTGCCACCTGCTTTTTCCTCAATCCCTTTGCTTCCCCCCCCCTTTTTTTTTTAATCTGTTTCGATACAAGCTCCAATCACATGTTGAATTTATTTTAATTAAACTTTGCTGCTTGTCCCTTTGGGTCACTAGAAAACTGCAGAGTAATGTAAAAGATACTCTTAATTACTACATTAAATGGCAAAGAAGAGTTAGTCGGTTACGTTGTTAAAGTGCCTGAAATATAATTAAAAGCGATACATAACAATCAGACAGGGAGCTGCCGTCTTGAAAGTCTCGTAAGGCAGATCAGGACTGAGACATTTTTAGGATTCACCGGGAGTCTGCGTTACAGAGGTGGCTTAAGGGAAGAGCCAGGGACTGGGGCAAGCACAACTCTTCAGTGTTGAATAAGTTTCCTTTCTTTTTAGGAAACACCTGAGGCTAGGTGTGGAGAAGGACTTGGAAATTGCCAGGCTGTTAAGTCCTCAGGACAGAGGAGAGCTCAGGTCAAACTTGATTTTATCTCGGTAGGGTAATTCCAGTTTGAAAAAATAGTTGTTAGTGGAGGTCTTAGTTAGAAATCAGGATGATGTGCCGTTGTAATGTGTCCGTGGACGCCCACGTACTCCCGTGGGTGTCCACCTTGTTACCCGTCTTCAGACAGCTCCAGAAAACGTCTTTTAGGGGTGCCCTGGCACCCAGCTGCCGAAACCGGGCTGCTCTCGCCTGGCCCGTGCCCAGCGCGGTGCAGTTGCCCACGTGGCCACTTCACTTTGGCCAACCTCAGCCTTCTTGTTACACAAGCAGCAGGAGGAACTTTCTCAGGACTTGTAGCCCTTCATTTCTTTTCTCTCCTGCAAGGAGCTGCATTTGTCTTTGCTCCTCGAGCTGTTAAGTGACTTGATGCTGCAGCCCTGTACCATGAAGCTGGGTGCTCCCCAGGCCCGGCCAGCCTCTCTGCTGCTTGTTGCTCCAAAGTATAGATGGAGGACTCGGGACAGAGGGAAGTTTCAAGGCTGTTTTTACCCTTTCCTTCGCAGTATTAAATCCGAACGCAAGTAATGCATTGCATACTAAGCGTTGCGCCCAGAAAAGATCTGTTCTGCATGGCCAGACGCTGAAATGGCACTTCCAGCCTCTGGAACGGGAATGTGGAAGTGGCCGGCAGCAGCACTCATCCGGAGACGCCCCGCACTGCTCCGTCACGTCAGCCCCTTCCCTGGTGAGCCCCGAACTAACCCTTCCGTCTCTCCCGCCAGCTGCCGCCTGCGAGTTTTTCGATATCGTGGAGCTGCTGCTGAAGTCTGGCGCTGACCCCACCCTCCGGGACCAAGACGGCTGCCTGCCTGAGGAGGTGACAGACTGTAAAGCCATCACGTCCGCGCTGCAGCAGCACACGGCCAGCAAGACCTAACCCCACAGCTGGGCAGCTCCGCGCAGCACACGCGCAGGGTTTGGAGGACGGACGCTGTCTGCAATAATGCCCCTTCTCTCCCCCCCTGCCCTCTGACGTACCCTGGGGTTTGTAGGGGAGGTTTTAGAGCACGGGACCTAGTGTTTAGGTGGGCTGGGCGTATCTGGGCTCTTGAGCGTGAAGACTGTCTTATCGAGCACGTGTGCTGTGCAGGATAGGATCAGGATTTTGCATGCTCTGAAACGTATCAGTATAATGGGGGGAGGGAGAGAGGGAGGGAGGGAGGGCAGAGAGGTCCTGGAGAAGGTCCCAAATGTCATTTTAAGGTATTAAACACAGCTACTGCATTGGATGTCTCACCACAGTAGCCTGTGCTGACCAAATGGGACCTCTGTGGGGAGGGCTGGCTGGGTTAGGTGAGATGCTCAGCTCTTCGGTTTGGGTTGAGTTTTGGTTTATTTTTTTTTCCCTTGGGCCCAAACAAAGTATTATGAATAAAAAAGCACAGTGTTGAGACGGCGTCCCTGCGTGTTTATCTTTCAGGGAGTGACTCGGTTCCTTGGGAGCTGTTAGGAGGAGAGGCAGCTCAGAGCTGTCAGAGCGCTCTGAGATATTCTTTCAAGCTTTCACCTCAAGCTCGTGCTCAAGCTTTCAACGGGAGGAGAAAAGGGGCACAAAATACAGAGCAGAAGCAGGCAGGGCCTCCACACCAGCTGTCTGGCAGTGCTAAGAGTCATACGTCTGTCCTTATGGTCCTCTCACAGAACATGCACAGTGACATGGTAAGACCAGTTTTTTGTGACTGGCCAACCTCCCTGAGATGAGGAACCTTTTGCCACTTTGTACAAGTGCTTTGCTGAGTGACATGTAGCAGCATAAAGCAACCCACATCGATCAGCATTTCCAGTTCCTCCTCATCGTGTGTCAGTCCTCAGTGAGGACTTAGCTAGGGTTGGGCTTTAGTAAGAGCTGGGCAGAGACCGAGACCTGTGCTTACCCTGTCTCATGTGTGAGCCTGTCTTTGAAACCTCATGGTTCCCCTCCACTTGCCAGTAGTCACTGTTAGTCCATAAAATCGGCAACGACCTGCCTAGTGGAGCTTCACCAGGTGCCAGGGTGAGGTGGGCTGGAAAGCCAGCCAGGATCCCGGCTGGGGCTGCCCGTGCTGTTGGGTTAGGAAGCGATTTGGGGCACCGGGGAGCTGCAGGGGAACGTGCTTGTGCTTCAGCCTAACTCCTTTCCGGGAGGGAGCCCCATGTGTTGTCCCTGCTGCGCTTCAGCTTAGTCTGTGCTGCACGACTAGGCTGCAGGTTTCGCTGCAGGGCATCGCTGTGCTGTTTGCTCTTCCCCGGACAAGGAGATTTACAGTGTGGAGGGGACTTATAAAAGCTCCATCACTGTAACAGGAAGCTGTTTGCCATCAAGTCCTTTCTGCACTGCATCCAGGCTCAGTAAAATAAATGGGAATGTTCCCTCTACTAAAGACTGGCTGGAAACGAGGCATATGTGGTTTTTGGCCCCTCGTGGCTGCTGCAGGCCGTTGCCAGCTTTTGCTAACGCTGACAAAGTTTGCTGAACTGGCGTGAACTCCGCCAGTAGCCACTTAGAAGCCAAAGTGCTACTGCTGCTGTTCGTGCGCGTGGTGGCTAGGACTGGTTTGGTGGTGGTGACGAAATGGCTTGGGCTCACCAGCTATGCATTCCCCTGTTGGCCATGTCAACTTACTTTCATTAACCCAATATTTGAGAGGTCTGAAATGCCTGGGAACTGCTGTGGTGGTCTCCGTGCTTTTGAAGACCCCTGCTTGGGTGCCCGGCTTTGTGCCCTGCTTTTTTCATGCGGTAATCACTGGCCTCTCTGCTGCTGGAGCTCTTGCTGAGAGGCATCGTCGCGCTCCTGCGCCTCGCAGCGGGTGTAAGGGAGCGTTCAGGCCTGTTTCTGTGGTAGGGTACCTCGGAAGCATGCATTGCTGCTCCCAAAATTCGGCCTTTATCTAACAAAAAGGGTGCCGTTCGCCTCCAGGGCCATCGCCAAGGTTTTCTGAAGTCAGTAGGAAACTTGAGCTTTAAGTCTGCTCCCCGTGTACCTCTCAGAGAAAACTGCCTTCCTAGCTGAAACGTGGCTGGCAAAGAGGAAATGCCTCTCTCACAACTGTTATTTGCTTCCACTCGCCAGCCGCTCACCAGCCCTGCAGGGATGGCCCTTAGGCGTTAAGAGGATGGATGCTCTTGTTGTCCAGTGCTGACAGAGACCTGGCAAAACGGATTCGCAGCAGGCGAACGTAGAGGCTAATGTAGAGAAGCAGCCCCTAAATAGCTGGATCTGGGGACATGCTTGAAGAAAGCTGCTGATAAACGTTAATACTCTTCCCAGCACACAGGACACGCCAGAGTTCAGTGTGTAGGGTCATTTCCAATCACTGCAGGGAGAGGTTTATTCAATGGAAGAGATGCAACAGCCTCTCTGATTTCTGAGCTGTCTTGGGAGGAGAGTTTGGGAGAAGCCGAGGTTACATCAGCAAATCCACCCCGGAGCGTGCGTGGGAGGGAGAAAGAGCTCAGAAAAACGGAGAAATAAAAAAATTCTTCCCCCCCC